CTCAGGGGGGTTGGTGGCTCGGCCCTGCTTTGGCTCCCGATGGGTTTCCCTGTCCCTGGAATTCTGCAGGAGGTGTTTGGGGTGAGTTTGGGGCTGCCCTGGGATGGCCTTGGATTCTCCCGAGGGTTTTGTGGCTGGAGCAGGATCTGCCCATGGATTGAGCCCAGGGAGCCTTTCCTGGCACATCCTGGAATTCTCTGCTCCCAGGGAATATCCCACAGAGCTGGAGGAGTCTCCAGACACGACTATTGTTGAACACAAAGTGCTTTTTGTGCCATTGTTGGAAGCTTCTGGATTAGGAGAAAACCTCAGGGCATTGGGGAATTCTGGTCAGGATTCTTGTGGATTCAACATCCACATCCCGATGTCCTTTGGAGAATAATAATAATAACAATAAATTATTTTTATTAAGTAGGAATATCAACAATTATTAGTAATTATAACAGTAATTATAGTGTGGCCATAATAATTATGGCCGGTCTCCGCAGGTGAAGATTTGGGAAAGGTGAGACACAGCGTGTGCTGAACTGAGCCCTCCCTTTAATCCTGAGGTTCATCTGGGGGGCTGAGCGAGCTGGGACGGTGGCAGTGAGGTTTGTTTAGAGTGACCTTCTCTGAGATGGATGGCCTTACAGGGCTGGTGAGCTCCATCTGCCCCGGGAGAGTTCCCTGACCAGGAATCGAACCCGGGCCGCGGCGGTGAGAGCACCACATCCTGACCACCAGGGGCCCCCAGTAATTACAGTGATTATACATAAAATAACCACAATAATAATTATAAATTAATAATTTATTATTAATAAATTTCAAATAGTTTTATTAATTATTAATTAATAATTATTTTATTACAATATTCAACCAATATGTGGAATGGATACAGCTATATAAAATAGATATATAAATAAATATAATATAAGTATGTAGTTACATTATTATTATTGTTGTTGTTATTATTATTATTATTATTATTATTACTACTAGTACAATATTCAGCCAATCCATGGATTGGATACACTTTTATAAAATAATTAGATACAAACTCCAATCCACTAATTCCACTTTGTCCCTGGGGGTGCTTTTCCAATTTACAATAAATGTTATTTTGCCTCTTCCTGGATCCAACTGGTCCCAGTCAAATAAACCCTGGTGGTTCCTCTGGAGTGGCTCAAATTCCTGATAATTTATTCCCATCCATGGAAGGCGAAAGTTGGGTCTGAACCAACATCTGGCAGGGAGAGAAGGTGTCTGTTTTTCCAGGAGGGATCATTTGTTCTGGCGACTCTGCAGGAAAATTGCAATTTGTGCCAGGTTGTCTCTTTAATCTGATTTATTTTTGGTGACACAGCTGGGATCTCTCTGGGATTTCACATCCTGGTGGGTTGGATTTGGTGATTGAATTTATTCAGGGTAAATCAATGGTTCTTATTTCCTGGAAATATCCCAAAATATGTTTGTTAATGAACCACGAGGGACAGAGAATGGAAGTTTAAATGCTCGGTATTTTGTGTTTCATGCTGCTTTACTGAGAGGGATGAACAACAGGAGGAGTTTAGGCAATAAAATGGGTGAAAACAGGAATTCTGTGGAGCTGAGGGAGGGGAAGGAGGATGAAGAGGAGAAAGAAAACTCCAGGAACGATGAGAAACATCCTCAAGGACAACTTGGCATAAAACAGAATTCCTGTTATTATTTTTGTCTTAGGAAAAGGAATTAACTTGATCTTAAACCCAGTGGATCCAATCTGATAATCCCCCTAAAAAGGGGATCTAAGTGGAATTTTTTTCACTCTGCTGAAGGGATTCTTAAAGATCCATTAATTCAGATTAAGGGATTCTTAAAGATCCATCAATTCCGATTGACAGTGGCCTGAAAACTGGAGTAAAATAACTTTTAACTCTCCTCTTCATCACTCAAAAAGTGGGTGAAAATGGTGAAAATGCCTTATTTTTGTTGTGGTAACCTGAAACCTGGTGATTTCTTTGTGTTTCCCGGGAAAGCCTTTCTGGTGTGAGGTTGTTACAACGAAACATTTTCCATTTAAACGCCCCCAAAAATGTTGGGAATGGTCCTTCCCTTCCTCTTCTGGAGAGGTTCGAGTGGGAATTCCACTCCTCAGGATCTCAGGGAACATTTCCCTCCCCTTCTCTCTTGTGTTTTGGGTTTTTTTGTGGTTCTCCAGTGCCCGAGGTCCGAGCACCAACCCTGTGATTTCCCAGACAGTTGCCGTTCTGGGCTTTCTCCCTCTTTTCCACGGACACACAAAAGCTCAGAGTTTCCTTCTGCAGTGCTGGGGCTCATCAACCCCCCCCCAAAACTCCCCAGTCCCTCTTTGTGGCGTGGTCAGTCCCAGGTTTTGGAGCCCGTTGGAGGTGAAGTGGCTCCGGGCGGGACCGTGGGGAGCGCTGGGATCCCGCTGAAGATCCTGCCCTGGAAATGCTGCTCTGCTCCTCCCTCCCTGCTTTCCTCACTGCCCCCTCTGATCTCCCCCTCCCTCCTGCCCACAGTTAGAGGTGTCCCCTTGCTTTGACAGGTGGAGGAAGGAGGTTTTCCTGCCCCTTGGTGCCCCTTTGCAGCCCTAGGTAGTTGGGGTGGAGGTAAGTGCCTCTTTGCTCTCTACCAGACCAGCAGGTTCCCTGGGACTCTGCTGGAAAATCCCTCTGGGATTATCAGGGTGTTGATCCTCACTGATGGAGGGGGAGTCGAGGCTGTGGATCGTGGGGTTGGGAAGGAATTCCTGGGAGATCCAGAGCACAGGACACAAAGTGCTGCCCAGGAGCTGCTGATCTTGCTGACATTCATTGTCAGCCGTGCTGGGAGGTTCCAAGTGCTCCCAAAATCCCCTTTTTCTGCTTTCCTTGTGTTCAGCCACACTGGGATTTCTGCCTGCTCTGTGTCTGAGCCAAACTCCTGCTGTCAGTGCTGCTCCTTCTCATCTCTCACTTCTGAGTCCAGAACATCCAGCTCCATTTTCTTCTCCCAGCTTCCCCCAGAACCACGGGATCTGCTGCCCCTTCTTTAAGTTTTTGGGGGGTGAAAGACAGATCCGATCCTTCATGGAAGAGTCTCCTTTCTCACACATTGTGCCCCAGAAATGAGGCTCTGGACCAAAATATTGGGTGTGGGGGTTAATTCCAAGGTCACAGGGAGGGAGGGTCTGGTTGGATAGGAGTGGGGGGTGTTTGGTCATCCCACGGGACCCCCGGGCTGCAGCAGGAGCTGTCCAGCCTTGGGATGAACATCCCTGACACTTGGTGGGAAAAGGCAAAGCCTTGGCTGACTCCTGGAGCAGATCCAGCAGTGGGACATGGGATGAAGACCTCCCAGGCACTGTTCCAAGCCCAAAGGACAGGGAAAAAGCCATTCCAGAGCTCCCTGCCAGGGAGGCAGAAACAGCCCTGGTGTCACCCGGGTGGGGCCGGGACTGATCCCAAATCCGTGTTCTCCGGGAGTTCATTGGTGTGGGAACTCTGTGGGGTGGAGCTGATGCCCTTGGTGACTCCAGGTGGGGTTGGCAGCTCTGCCCTTTAATCCTTCTGGATCTATCAGGACCAGGAAACCAGCTCCCAGTGCTTTGGTCCCTTCTCTCCCGACAAGGGCGGCTCTGTTGGCTCGCAGTGCTCTGGGCGTGGGATTGTCCTCCCGAGAGTCCAGGAGCTCCTGAGGGAGGTCCTGCATTCAGGAAAACCCCCTTGGGGTGGGAAAGGTTCTCTGTCTTGCCATGGACTCCAAAATCCTGGCATTTGAAGCAGTCCCACCTTGACCCGTGTTCTGACAAGACTCTCTTGGTTTGAGTCCCTTCACCTGCATAAAATCTCTGTTTCCTCTCCCGGTGTCCCTGGTGCTATTTCCATGTCTTTCTCCTAGTTTTTGAAGCCTTTTCCTTCCCAGACTGAGCCTCCTGTCCTCAAAAATGTTCAAAACCTGGTGGCATTTGAAGGTTTTCCATCTCTTTGAGGATGAACCACCTTTGATTTCTGTGTCTCAAGGATGAGCAACATGGGTGCGGGAGTTGGTCACCTCCACCCTGTCCCACAAAGTAAATGTGTCCTGCTTCTGAATTCCTGGTTTTTTTGTGTGTGCCTGAAGTAATTTCTGCTTCCATCTTGCCATGCAACTAATCTGCCTTGTGGTTTCCTGGAGCTTTCCTGCAATTTCAGTTCCCAGCACCGCGAGGGGATATGAACAGTAACAGGGAGACAGGAGAGGAGGCGATGTTTTCGTGTTCAGAGTAATTCCTTGTGAGGGGAAGAGGAGGATAACGTGAGGTGTTTCCTTGGGCCTTTTCAGATATTTTTAAGCTGAAAAAGATGCCATTTCTGGCTGCTGGGGGGGCAGGAGTTGGGCAGTGTCTCCAGCCAGTCTGTGGTGGTGGGAGATGCAAACCCGGAATGTTCCGTGGGCAGGGCAGGAGGAAGCTCCTGAAGCTCCTGAGGCTCCTGAAACTCCCAAAGCTCAGCTCTGTCTGGTTCCTGGGGTGGCCCTGGGGGTGCGGGTCCCTGCTGCTGCTGAGTTGAAGTGTCTGTGCTGTGTTCACTCACCCTGCCTCTCATTTCTCTCTCTCTCCCCTCTCTTTGTCAAGCATCGCAGGCTGCATGTACCGAGTCCTTCAGACCACGGGACCAGATGGAAAAAACCTCCTGAAATTACTCCCCATTTCCAAACCTTCGGGAAGCTTTGTGCCACTAGTTCAGGCTCCAGCCATGCCAAATAGCCCTGCAGGGAACATCTCCACCCCTGTCCATCTTACCTTTAAGACCCAGCTCGGCAGTTCCGCTGCACCTTCATCCGTTAAGATCTTCCAGTCTCCTAATCCCGGGAAGATCATTCTTACGAGGATGTTAGACAAGCAGGAGGGTGTCAGGGCAGATTCTGAGAAGGAGGGCTTGGTTCCCGGTGCCAGTGTGCAGGGCAGGGGCTCTGTGCAGGACATGGCCGTGCCCGGCTCCTCGCCCCAGAGCGGCACAGCCTACATGGTGGTCAACACAAACCCTCTCCCAGCACAGAACCCCGGCAAGCCCCCGGTGCTGCCCTCCGGCCACCACCTGCAGATCCCGGCTGACGCCGAGGTGAAGTCTGTCCCGGCGTCCCTGCTGCCCCCGGCCATCCAGCAGAAAATCCTGGCGGCCGCAGCCACCTCTGCGTCCGACGGCTCCAAGATGCCGACGGTGATTTACGTGTCCCCGGTGAACACCGTGAGGACCCCCCAGGCCCTCTCCAAGTGGATGCAGGCCTTGTGCCCCCGGAGCAGCCCCGAGGCTCCCAGAGCCCTGCTGTTGGCAGCAGCCCCAGAGGGGGCTGGTGCTGGCCCGGCCGAGGGGCCGCGGCGCCGCCAGGCCCCCATGAAGTGGATCGTGCAGGAGGCCACTCCGCTCACCCAGTGCCTCATCCCCGTGAAATCCTCCAACAACGTGGCTTCCAAGATCCTGAAAACCCTGTCGGATGCCAGGAACCTGGGAATGAGCTCTGCCAACGTCCTGCCCCTCTGCCCCAGCGGGCCCGGGGCCAGCCAGGCCAAGCTGACGCCGCTGAAGGACAACGCCCTGGTCATGTACAACGGGAAGGTCTATCTGCTGGCCAAGAGGGGCTCTGACATCCTGGCAGCCCAGGCTGAGAGACAAACCCCCTCCTCTCCTGAGCCCTCACTCAGAAAGGAGACGCCCCAGCGCGTGGACTCCTCTGCTGTCAACCAGATCACCAGCCAAGTGGTCAACCTGGTGCTGTCCAAGAGCAGAGGGCTGCTGCTGGCCCAGACGGACCCAAACCCACGGGCAGACCCCCAACATTCCTCCCCAAACGACTCCAGAGCCGCCCCCGTGGCCCCGGTGCCAGCTGGTGCTGCCCAGCAGGATCCTGGGGCCATCCAGGGCCATCCCTGCCCTGCTCCACCCATGGGAGACACCCCGGGCCCGGCTGGGGGGGCACAGGGGCACCATGGCAGGGACAGGAGTCACTCCTTGCCCAGGGCAGCGGGGGCTGTGTCACCCCAGGGGGAGCAGGAACGGGCTCACAGTGCAGACCGGCCCAAGGTAATTTAATTAATTACCAATTAAACACCCCCCCCCCCCCCCCCAGTCTTCTGGACAGGGGGTTTGAAGTGACAAAATGGCCCTTGAGGAGTTCATGGATTTCTGTCCCCAGGGATCCCGACCTGGAGTTGGTTCTGGTCCATAAATGGTCTTTGTTTTCCCCACTGAGTTGAACTGTGCAAGTGAGAAATGCAGGAAGGAGAGGAAGGGGCCCAGCAAAGATGGGTTTTATCCCCTCCTGGGATAAATTGTTGGGATCTGGAGCTCCAGGGAGGCTGGTGGTGACTGGAGCTCTCCAAGGTGGATCCACACCCGTTCCCAGCACAGCTTTGGGTTGCAGGTGGGATGTGAGGTGGAGAAGGAGAAGTTTGCAGCTTCCCAGGAGGAAAACGAGCTGGAAGAGCAGAGTTTGTGCTCCTGGCAGGGCACAGGCAGGTCCAGGCTCTTTCCTCCCATGGACCCACCTCCTTTTTGGCTTGTTCCTCACCTGAGAAATGGTGAAATCCAGTTTATTTCTGCATTTCCTTTCACCTCAGGGAGGAACAGCTGAGCAAAGGTGCTGCTTTCAGCTTCTACATTTGCCAGGCCCTGGGTTGTAAAGAGCAGAGGCACTGCCTGCTCCTCCCTCCTCCTCCTCTGGCACTTGGAAGGTGTAGAACAAGGAATTCTCTTGTTGCTCCTCTGATTTCTGTGCTTGCTGGTTGGACTGGATGCCTTCTGGATGTTCCATGATGGATTTTCCTTGTTTTGGGAGGGGGTTAAAATGGGGGTTTAAGTAATTAATGAGTGTTAGACCTGTGATAATGAGTATAATTTACCAAAATGATTCTCTGTGCTAAATGAGGCTCTTGGAGGGGGGCAGACAAAGCCAATGTTCTCCTCTCCTTCCATCACCTCTTTTCCCATATTTCTGTATTTTATCTATTTTTATGGAGAGAAGGAGAGAGCGAGAGAGGGACTGATGGTTCTCTCACTGCTTCTGTGTTTCAGATCCAGGGGGAACACATGGATTCCCTGGGAGAGCTGGAAACACAACCCCCAAAGCAGCCCCACTGGAAGCAGTACTTGGAATTAAGGAAAAAATTTGGGCTCACCAAGGAGGAGAGAGTTTACCTGAGGAGAATCCCACTGATCCAGGACTCCTGGGAGAATCCAGAGGAAAGAGGCTGTTCCAGTGCCAGCCTGGAAAGGAGAAGTAATTCCTGCAGCTCATCCTCCCTGGATGTGGAAATAGGGAACTGCCTGCAGGAATATGTTCCAGAGGAAAAGGTACCTGGGAATCTTTTCAGGGCTAAAAACCCTTGGGAAGGCGTTGCCAGGGCAAGGCTGGGGGTTGTTGGGAGCCTCCCACCCCTGGATTCACCAGGAATCATTGGGACAGTGTTTCCTAGGACTTGTTTGGGGTTTCTGAGCACCACCTGAGGATCTTTGTGCTCATTTTTGGGCTCCACTGAGGGAATTTGGGCAACAAATGGTTTGGGGGAGTTTGGCCTCACTGGTGGTGGCTGGACAGTGCCAGGGATGGTCCTGGTGGGAATTGGGGCCTCTGTGTCCTGGTTTGTGTTTAACCTTGTGTTTGTCCAGCAGTGTAGGGGGGACAAGCAGAGGGATGGAAGGATAATTTTGTGATTAACATAGTTTATAATTAATTAAAAATTGTATCAGTTGAGTTTGAGATCAGCCAAGTGCCATTATCTCAAGGCTGTGGGTTTATTAGAACTAAATTAGAACTAATTTATTAAATTAAATTCACTCATGGACCTGCCCAGCCTTCAGAGCTACAAATCCTTATAAACTTTGTCCTTTGTCACTGGGAGAACTTGGCTGGATGTTCCTGGAAGGGGCAACTTCCCTCCTAATGCATGGGAAGGGTTTTGTCCATCCAGAGTTCAGCCAGTGTCCTGCATTTCTTTTTGTGGGACCCTGCCTGACCCAACCAAAGCTTCTCTCAGGTTGTGCTCATTCTGTGCTAAAATCGAGCAGATTTAAAGTTGCTCTTAAGATTAAACCCATCCCTGGGAGTGTCCAAGGCCACTTGGAGCAACCTGGGATA